GTGTGCTCTTCCGATCTATAAAACAATGGAATTTAACTCAAATTTGGGTTAAATTTGAACTGTTTTGAATTATTTAACTCTATTGTTTTAGTTAAAAATAGCTATATTATTAAGTAGGAGCAGTGGCGACTCAAATAGGGTTAAATTTGATTATACTATAGATTTAACAGCGTTCAATTGATAATATGTCGTGGAGATACGCGATGGAATGTACGCGATGCGTAAAAAAGAAGTACGCTAATAGAAAGACGTCTCGAGAGAGAGATGTGAGGCTTTAAAGATCCGTTACCGAGATGCGGTGAGATTTTACCGCCAATCATAAATGTTACACCGACATGTTTCAGAAGCGTTTCTCATAATAATAATGGTAATACGTATAATTGAACAACATTCTGGCGTTTTCAAAACGTTCGCGATAAATCTCACGTACTATTATAGCAACGCGATTACATATCTGAATGCTCTGTTACTACGGGGGGTATTGTACGTACACGGCACTAAAAGTTCCTTCTTCCTTAACCCTCGCCAAATTCGATCTGACACCACGCACATCGCGCGTCGTGTTATTATATTATGTATGATACAGCACCGGCAAGTGGCAACATCTTTTCGTATACCCCGATTCTGATGAACGTCGGATATGCGGCGGAGAATTTTCAAGGAAGTCTATATTTTTGCGGGTTTTAATCTTTTCTACTGCGAATTCGCTACGTCCCTACAGTATTGGATATTTTTTTCTGTTAAAAATAAAATATCTTCTCCCTTATCGGAATATATCGCGCGTTATCTGCTATGTATTTTTACATTTTTGTTACCACGTTTTGATAACTTCGATGTTTATTAAACAAATAGTCTCATCCGTGCATCGGAAAAAAGTTTGGAAACTGGAGTATCGCATTGCGAAAAATCAAAAAAAATTCTTGTAGGTAAATTGGGAATAAATTTGACGTTAGGTGCTTTTGAGGAAAAAGAGAGAGAAGGGACGACGTTTCGCGAAATATTAAATAATTTTTTTTGCTCGAATCCTCTGATATGTTGCGATCGCAATCAGCAGACAATGTTTTTTAAAAATATTTCTTAAATATTTATTTAATATTATAATATTAAATAAATATTTTAAAAACATTGTCCGCTGATTGGGGACTATTGGGATACACCGAGTACATTGCAATGGTCATATCCGTAGCTTTTATATATATATAAAATATGTGTCTCTTGCTTTTTCTCGGGCTTGTCGCCGATCCGAGGCTCATCAGAATTCGGAAGGAACAACTCGACACGCATTACCTTTGCGAGTATACACAAGCACGTTGTATTTATAATTATGTATACACGGTACGCACGGGTTTTCTTTTTTGCGTGTGCGTACGTATGTGTATGTATAGATACATACAGTGACAGACAGAACGTGAGACACATATAGATATACATAACACTAACTATATATCTCGCAATAAAAAGGAATCGCGCGGGCCTTCTGCTAGCCGAACTATGCGCAAGCATACTTTATTTACAAAGCTCCCCGTGTTCGCCATGCGTTCAACAATGTCGGCGACGCTTGTCCCGTGTTGTCGCACGGCCCCCACTCATGTGTTAGTAAAATCTACGATATTTAGTTTTATCGACGGCGACGACTCGATTAGGAAAAAGACGCTTGAGTTATGTGTGGACAATGGAGACGCGTGAAAACGTCCGGAAGTGGACAAAACGCCATTTTGACAGCTCCCCTCATCCCTAAGAAATGTGATGTCGGTTACAACCCTTGACACATTATCTATGATTATCTTCAAAATTATTTTTCCGCGTATTTGTTCCATTTAGCTGGATATTTTGGTATTTTCTTATTTTCCTATATTTTAAAATAAGCTTTGAGGAATTATAAAAATATTTAACTCTTCTAAATTGATTTCGGTAGAAGTTAAAAAAGAAGAGATAAAGGAAATTTCACGAGAAAGAAAAACAAAATTAAACGTATTTATATCTTAAATCTATATAATAGATATGTCTTTAAAGAAATATATGGCCTGTAATACGGCTTGTTGTATTCTATTAGGCCAATAAAAAATTTCGTTGATAAATAAAAAATAAAATAAAAAAAAATATATATATATCAATTGAAATAGGAATAGTGCAACGTCAAAAGAATTGGAATATTTTCAGTCCTCTTTGAAAATAAGAAAATTGTACTTTTCGTATGAAAATCTTCCCTTGAAAAAAAATGGCATTTCGATCCACTTCCTGAATTGATTTTTGGAACAATGTCAAAAGCTTTATCGAGTACTGTAGGCCGACGAGTATCACGTTCTTGTTAATTACGTAACCATAATGATATTGACTCTCCTATACCCAGGAAGATTTAAGGATGCCCATAGGATATCGAAAGGGTTCCCTCATCATAGCGGGAAGCACCCTCGAGTGAGATAATCGCCCACACTTTTTATGTATACAGATATACATGTTGATAACGGATTACAATGCTAGAAATCGCGGATCGAGACGAATGTCTCTACCGAACGCACGTTAATGACCAAAAGTCGCGTTAAGTACAGTAGCGAGACGTTTCATATAGTGAATGAAAACATGAACGCGCCGTCAAAGTGGAATGGTCGATAGTCCTTGTGCAATCTCGAATCAGAATAGATCATATATTCGCCTCGATCCTCGATGAAGCTACTCGTATCACCCTCCATTTTTAACCCTTAAGTAGTCTTGCGATCAAGTGGCTTTTAGAATTAACGACGAATATTCTTATGTATAAATTCCAATTTGCAAATTAATCGTTTTCATTCTCTATCTAAGGATAGAGAGTGATTTAAGATTTAAGTGAACGTAAGCAATTTAAGAGAATGTAAGTGTATGAATAATTGACAAGCGGGAAGTTAAAACGAGAGCAAAATTAAGAGGACCCGCTAGAGACGACGACAACGATAGTAGAGGATGGAACGTGAGGAGAATAAAAGATCACAGATTTTTAACACAAATAAAGCACATCAGTACTATCTATATGTCCTGCGAGGAGAAATTTTCAACTACCAACACCGATAGCCAGCAGTAAAAAAATAAAAAAAATTAAATGCAACCGTTAAAAGCCTGAATTACACCCGGTGTAGTTAGCGACCTACTCCAACGCGACCAGTCAAGGGTTAAACTTCGCTATCCGTGATTAACACTCTCGCATTCACACACAGTCGCTCATTCTCTCTTTCTCTCGCTCTCTCATTTTCTCGAAGATTTGTCGCTATACGGCGGTGCAGATCACCCACAGAGCACGTTGCGCACGAGGTGACGGAGATTATTGGAGGAGGACGAGAGGTCGTGCAATTCACTCGCGCTGCAGTATCTCCTGATTCAGGAAAATAGACAAAGCGTTCAGACAGTCTGACTCTCTCGCATGGAGCGTTCCAAAGCGGCCGTTCGTTTCTGTCAGAATGAATTTAATGAGAGCTGAGACAGACCTGTCCTCAAAAGTAAGGAGAGCAGCTCGTTCGGCCGTCTCTCTCCTCTCTTTCTCTCAAAATTGACGGAATACTCTTTCAACTATTCTGCAGGCTACCGACGAGTTATGTAGACGATTATGCGAGATACTTCATTTTCTCCGTGATCTCCAAGCGAGTCTAATACGATATTATTTTTCTTATACAAAACAATTACATTAGAATTGTGTCCAAACCGTATTTAAACCGATATATATTCGACGCGATTCTTCGAGAAGCGAAAAACGTATCGCGTAGCGTAAATCATGCTGACATGTACACCTCACGCGCATACTTTTGCGTTTCGTCAGCCCTGATAAAGCGTTTGTTTACTTTTCAAAAACGCGCGGCGCAGCGAGAATGGAGAATACGCACCGTCGACGCGTTTGTCTCGGTGTGAAACATCTCGGGAATAATATCGACAGTGGTAGGCGTAGTTTTCGTGCGCGTGCTTCTATCTCATGTTTTTTTAGAAGTGAAAAATTCGGCTTAGGACGCTCCATGCGGATTGCGATTAGTCGGTTTCATCCTGAAAACTCCTGCAATACTTTGGGGGCGACGGGGTGACGTTAAAGGGACTTGAGGACGACGCAATTACCGTTCGATAGGCTTTTACGACACGTCGCCTATCTGTATTTTCAATACAGTTTACAGTAATCCTCTCGGTCACTCGGGGGGAAACACGTTTAAATGACTCGATCAATCGGCCACTGACGATAGCTAGCTTACCATCTCGTATAAATCGTCTGTTCATGGAAATATACAGCGGCGGCAATAGACAATCATGATAGTATTATTGTAATGTGTGATAAAAGAAATATGCACTACCAATAGCAACAAAATTATAAATTAAATGAAATTGCCTGGTAGATAAAAATTTACTCATTAAGCTACTCGTGAGATTACATCAATAGAAATAGGATTACTGAAAATAAAAAGGAAATATGAAAAGGATATTATTTTTTTTGAATGAGTTTTTTCTTTCAAAAACTCGAATTAATAATCCCCTCTGTGTTGCTGATTTCATGGAATATATTAAATATAAAATAAGTATACATGATTCTCCATTGCTTCAACTGTATCCTCTCGTGTCCGATCGGTCAATGAAATGAATTACGACTTACCATCTCAGTCGTGAGACTCGCTAGGGCCTCCTCCACAGTGGCCGCGATCCTTCCACCGTCATCTTGACGTTGATTACCCTTGATCGGCGTCGTCGGGCAACCTAAAATTATCGTTAATCGTCATCGTGCAAAAAATAATCGTTGGTCCTCGCAGATTACCGTTAACGGAAGGCAAGAGGTACCTCGAGCGATAGTGTGATCTCCAAATTAGCTCTATATTCGGAAAAAAAAGCGGTCGTAAATGTGAGAGAGATTAAGAAATCTTCGGATATATAGTTATCGCAGTGCGAAAGATTACACGAGAGCATATGCGTAGCATCTGTATAAATGTTTTGTATAAATAGTTTTTAAACAGAAAGCGGTTCAGAGTCTGTTCCCCTTTCTCGAGGTTTCGCAATTTTGAGGCGAAACATGAAACGTCGTCGTGCAATTCGAGAAATTGTGTTGTTTATGCATGAGAAGAAGCGTGTGAAGCTAGCTGCTTGTGTGAGCCAATAATAGAGAAAGATATAAAGACAGAGAAGAGATAAAAGAATATAGACAAAGATCGAAACTTATCTGCCAGCGATCCTAAGAAATTCTCGAAGATCAGAGAACGTATACAGATGAAAATAAAAAAAAAATAAAATCAACGTGTAGACAGGATTCGATGAAGAGTGACGAGAGAGTGAAGTTTCGCGTTTTGGTATTTCTTCTCCTTTATTGTCTCTTTCATAGTTTTCATACGCATTTTAACAAAGCTTCATTTAAATTAGCTAGACAGGGCTAGACAGAGAACAACATTAATTAATTATAACTGGTTCTATTCGATTCCGTGTTTTTCTCGATATCGTAATTCTGTCGTAACTAATTCACGAAATAGAGTATGCAAACAACTACTGGAGAGTTACAATCTCGCGTGAAATGCATCAAATTATATGCTTCATCGTTTTCGCGACAATTAATTACCGTAAACAGTAATATCTAAAACGTTTTCGTTTATATAAAATAAAAATTATTGAGTGAAAATAGTGTTCTCTCGCATTTAATTAACAATCTTGAAGCATCAACTGTATACAACAATAACATTGATTGCAATAACATTAAAGTTAAATCTTTGCTTTTTAATCGTCGCATTCATACGTTTTACGTATGTGTATATATTTCGAGACATTAATAATCATTATTTCAAAAAATGTTATAACAATAAATATAAAAAATATAGTAAAAAAATCAACAAAGAACTATATTTATATATGTTATATAGATCAAATTAAAACTTTTAATTTATTTTACGTTTTAAATTTTTTGATATGTTAATTAATTTATACATTAAATCTTATGTTTTCAAGTTAACTCCGTTGTAAATAAAGATTTTAGAATTTCTGCTAATAGATTTTTTCTCAGTAGTAAAAAAGATTTTTGTCGAATTGACATTGGAATGTAATAATCTGACTAATCTAATTGCATTGTGATATATGATTTGAAAATCAATGAGGATAATGTATATGTAGATATGTAACTTATTTAAAAAATGATGTTTGACGTTTAGAAGCATTAAATTCTTTCATGAACTGAACATTCAATGCACAAACTGTTCAAGTGTCTAATAATTCTATAATATTAACATTTAACAAGATATATACAAAATTCTACCGCCAACATGATTGTTAATATTGTTGACTCTGTTACACCATTTAATTTACATCGATCGAAAATAAAAAAAGACTCATAAAAACAGCTTCAGATTCATAGAATCAACGTGATATAATTCTGGAAAAGTGATTCAACTTTCCTGACATAAATTCTTCTCGCAAAAAAGGCAACAATCTAAAAAAATTCATTTAGAAAATCTAGAAGATCTACGTTAACACTCGGCAACGAATCGCGAGGATCAACACAACGTCTACGTTCGTTCTCGCACGAGTGTCTCCTCGTTGGAACGTTCCGAAGAGACAGAAGAGAGGGGAGGTACCAGCAGAAGGAGCTGAGGAGTCCTCGTGGCAGTGTCCCTCAGGTGCCATAGTAGATGTTGAGCGCGTAGAGAAACTTACCTATGTCGCCGCTGCTGGAGCTCTCGGTGAAGGACGGCGTGCCCTCGGTCCACGTGGGCGTCGAGCCCTCGGCACTTCCGGCCGGCGGGGTCCACGTGAGACAGCCGCCACCTCGGCTGCTGCTGCCGCCGCTCTCGACGCTCAGCGACGACTTGGTTTCCCTGCCGCCGCTGCCGCTGCCGCTACCGCTGCTCTCCAAATGCACGTCCGATATGCTGAGGATAAATTCATTCGTCACGTTTTAACGCCGACAGACCGTGAGGGAGTCGAGTAATCATGTGTGATTAAATTAAAATCAAATACTAACATTCTCCTTTTCCTGAGGTTGCCGGTGATAAAGCAAAGAAAAAAATGTTTTTGTTTAGATGCGTGCGAAGTGCGAAGACAAGCATATAAAATATATCTCAGGCTAAATATAGATAATATTGAAAAAAAAAGTTCAAGCAGTGTAAAGACGTATCTGTGTACGTGTCTTATCACACAATTGCATGTCTAATTGTAAATCTGAATCAGTGGATATAGTCACTGATTATCAACAGTTATTCATTGAATGCATCAATCCCAAGTATGTCCTGGTAATCAGTGCAATTCAACTTTATTGTCTCTCAGAAATCGCTAATAAATAAGTGAATAATCGCTATAATCTCTGACAAATCAGTGGATTTCTCGCTGTTTTCGTTAATTCCACAGCAGCTTCGGCTGTGTTTAGTTTATTCATTAGCGATGCAAGGTGTTACTTATGTAATCAGTGACTTTTTCATCAGTGAATAATTCGGATTTAGAGAGGATCAATCAGTAACATCTATTCTTAGTTGGATGCCTTCATTAAAAATTTCGCAATTATTCTACATTAAATTTGTTGGCTAATTTTAGTGTATTCGTGTGAACATACAAAATGACGAATAATAATTCTTCTTTTGATTTCGTTACTGGTTGAGAATTGAGGTACTTTAAAATTGTCAATGATTAGTGATTCAAAGGGCAAAAGAGCGAGGTACTCACCTTACAGTGTCGTGATACGTCTTGGTGAGGGTAACGTGATGAACAACCTTATTCTGTTTGGAATGAGCAGAGGACAGGCTGCTCGTGAGAATGGGGGTCGCGCTGCCTTGCTGAGGATGACCACCGGAAGCCAGGGTTTGGTCGTTCGAGCGGACTGCATCGTCAAAGGGCGGGGGCGGGGTGGAGCAGGTGGAAGGAAGGGTGCCACCTACAAAAAGCGCACTACAATTAGCCCTAATTAATACAACGCGCATATCGAATAATCGCTGAAATAATAGGCAGGGGTGAAATGGCGGCAGAGGATGGATGAGACAAAAGTTTTGTTTACTAATAATTACACATATATGCTATTACGAAGACGACACATGTTCGGCAGAAAATTTACTATCCTCAAATCGCGACACTATAGTATTTTAAGATAAATATATTTCTTGAGAGATACTGATATATCTTTTCGTATTTGCGAAAGATATTTGAAAAATTTAGGAACTTTTCTTTTTCTTTCGCAATATTTATTATTACATCAAGTTGCAATTTTAATTTGTTGACAACTTGAAAAGCATTATAAGAAAAATTTGCGACATTCTCAACATACAAGATGGTTTAAACTTAATATCTATCATTTGTTAATTTTATACATTTATGCAGATTAAATCGACAAATGCTCCAAACCATCCTATATGCGAATTCAATTGTAGTGCTTAAATTAAAATCAATTTAATCGTTCGGAATTTTTGACACGTGCATTTAAAGTAGTAATGACTTCTCCTTTAATTCCGCAATGAATCAATTTCTTCTGCCTGTTGGTATATATGACTGGGGAAGCTTAGGACAAATAACTTTTGGATAAATAATTTAGGATGAATAACTTTCGCAAATATTTACAAGGAGAACGATAATTATGTAAAATTTCCAAGCGCGATGGTGTAGCGAAAACTATGCAGAGTAAAATTATACATATTTCCAACATTTTTAAAGAGGCAGTCAGTGACAACTTGCCGTATCAAATTTTTTTTTACGTCATGATATAATAATTATTTACCTAAGAATATTGCATTTTTAAAAATGCTGGAAATATCAATACAAAGCATCTGTATTCAAAATTGATAGAAGCAAATTCGATTTAAGTGAAAGGAGATTATAAGTTTTTTAGTTATAAGTTAGATTAAGTTATAAGTACTATTCACTTATATGTATCTACAAAAAAGTGCAACATAAATTATTTAATTAGAGAATGTAGAATAGATTTAATTTTATGTATGATGCGATTGTAACGCCATTAATATACTCGTACAAACATCCTCTACTACTAGACAATTTATTAAGCTTCAAAACGGCTCGATATATACGATTAAATAGCACAGTACGACTAGAAGGTAAATAAACGCAATTAATTAAATGAACGGATATCGGATTACGCGAAGTAAATTAGCAACAAAAGCAGAGTGAGAGAGAAAAAGAGAGAGAAATATTCTTCCGCGAATAATAACGCGATATAAGCGAAATTTCATTTCCTGTAAAACACGTTGCGTTTATTCACTCGTTGGTGGCAATGAAATTCTGCATGCAGTTTCTAATAAAACTCGAACGGTACTTAAGCGCTAAATAGGAACGTCAATCACACAACGTAACGATAATTTTACACAATAAAGCGGGGAGAACTCAAGAACGATTTTTGCTGTACGAACGATACCTCATCGACGTCTTAAATCGACTTGACACGTCGCAGACGTGGAAAAGAGACATCAGAAAGACATTATTATTAGATCAACACAGAATTGCTCTCTTCGGTGTCTATTAATAAAGGTGGTCGGAACATTTAACAGTTAACGTAGCCCATCATTTCCGATAATTCTTGCGATTACCGAAAATACCGTTTATCACAGTTTATCCGAGATATGAGATCGGATGATGATATGCGGGAAACAAATAATTGCAACGTGCTCGTGTTGTGTCATGCAGCAATGATGGAAGAGGGGTCAAAAAAACATTTTACGTAACAAGCGTCCAGTGAAGAAAGATGAAAGCTGTAGTTCTTCCTTATAAGGCTGGAAGCTGCGGCTCTCCTTCATAAGATTACAAGTTCGGAAAAAAATTTAATATATTATCGTTTACGCAAAATCGTTATCAGATCCGATGACATCAAGACTCTCGATTGTTATTAATGTCCTTTTAAGTCGCTTTCTCTTTCTTGTTTGTATATACCAATGTACTATGTTTCACGATCTAAAATTAGTAACTCAAGTCTTCTTTATCTTTATGTGAACGATCGTGTCTTTCGATAAGTATGTAAGAAGGAAACATTCGGCTTTAGCATTCCAAACTCCGGATTAAACGACAAATCGTGGCCGCTCGAAAGTGACTTAAACGTTCGTGTCTTATGTTCGGCATCGATATTTAGTCTTCTTTTCAACACGATCCTTTCTTCCTCCCGATTCAATCGAATTTCATTGGCAGGCAGGACAAGTTTTCGTTTAATTTTATTTCCGTAATCCAAAGTATCCAAATGTATGTCTTTCTGAGATGCGTTCTTTGTTTCGTCTCTCACGTCCATCTTAATCTTCTCGAAGGTTCTCACTCTTTCGGAAGATTTTACAACATTCCTATTTCGAATATCGTCGAGGCTGGAAGATATAAATTCTTCTCTCTTGATTGTATTCGGCAACTTATCTCGATTCACATCTCTCGGATTACTCATCTCAATCTTATCAAATGAAAATTCTTCTTCTACAGGACTACAGTCGAATTCCGAAGGCTCGTTTTTATATCGTTTTAATCCATCATTAGTCGGTCGACCAAATTTACAAATCCTTTCACAAACTATCTTATCTTCCGTGTTTTTTTCAGTTTCAACACGATAGCTATTTGCAAAAATTCCTTTGAATTCACCTCTGTTATATTCTTGCTCATCATTTATATTTTTAGAGATGTCCCTTTTTTTATCAAGATAGTTATTATCTCTGGAAGAACAACTCTGTTTCGTTTCATCACATCTGATTGCTGATCGCTTCTTTTCGCTCGTAAAATCTGTGTCACTTTTATTACTTTTCTTTTGAAATCGATAACCACTCTTATTTTCTGAAGAACTCACTCTCAAAGACAATTTCTCACCCTCTCTCTTTATATTTGTTCTCTCATTTTCAGCTAAATTTCCATTAAAAGTTTCCCTTTCGGATGTTCGTTTCTTCGTCGACGGTTTCGGCGCAATTCGTTTCTTCCTTCTAGATTTCTCTCGAATTTTTTGCAACAAAATGCTGTCTTTTTTAATTGACACAAATTTTATGATCTTTTGCTTATTGTTAGCCCATTCTTCAGCAGGCTTATCCTCCGCATGAGACGTGTCTGTATGATGCGTTCTCGCACCTTCCACTGACTTGTGACGACGCGACATCGTCGTGATCGTTGTGATAGACGCTTCAAGGTTCTTCTGCTTTCTCTTTACTCTCTCGTAATATGTCTCAGAATGTTTCTTGTCCTTCCGCGACATCTTGTAGTTCATCAGATCGGCTCGAGAGCTTGGATTTAAGAAGTACGTGAACTTCGCTAGATGATCCGTTGTCTTGGTGTCGCCTCTTATCTCTCTATCTTTCTTCGGGACTTTACGATTGTCAGTTTGGGAATCCTTCGAATGATCGAATCGGCGAATTCCTCTGTCCGGTCTGAGGGGGTGCAGGCTGGTCTTGATGATATAAGCATCCTCGACCTTCTCCACGCTGACAAATTCTTCCTCGTCCTCGTCGAGTTCTTGGATATGCCAACGCTGAATCGAGTCCATCGGCCAGGCTTCCCGATGTCGCGTGTCGCGACAAGTATTATTGGATGCTGATGTACGGGCATGCAACGCATTCGAGGTCGCGGAAGTAGCTTTAGTAGAAGTAGTAGCAGCAGCAGTGATAGTAGAGGCCGCGGTTTTAGCGGTGGTGATAGAGGTGGAGGGATGGTCGGGTAGGAGCGGATGGTGCAGGTCGCACGAACTGTCATGCAAGCGGTATCTCGTGATTATGGCTGCTTCATCACCTCGGCTGGAAGTCATCGACGACGTCGTCGAGGCGGCGGTGCCGGCCGCCCGGTGATCCTCGGAGGACCTGCCGGTCCTCGAGGCGCCCGTGCCCCGCGGCGGCACCGGCGGCGGGACCTTGCCGGACGGCACCAGGTTCGGGTTCGGCGGACTGGCCGCGCTTCTACCCTTCAGCACGGCCGGATAACTCGTGACCTTGACCGTGGGGGCGGCTGCCCCGGGCGGATGCTCGTGATGCGGAACTTGACCGGCGGCCAAGGTCAACGGGGGCGGGCACAGCGGACCGGCGGCAAGGTTAACCGGGGTGGAGGTGGCGATCGGCACCGAGGCCGCCGCGTTCGCCGCGCTGATCGCAGGATCGGGTGAGCTAACTGCTGCGTGGTCGTATACGAGGTCATCCAAGGGTCATTCAACGGGGGAGGTCGCGTGCGTGTCGCGTCGCGATGGCGCGGGATGGGAAGACAGAGAGAGAGAAAGAGAGAGAGACAGGCGAAAAGAGAGAAACAGAGAAGCCGGATGAGAGAAGTCGAATGATCGGAGAACCGTGCAACGTTGATTCTTCTCTGGTTGGTTCACTTTAGAGTGATCCGCGAGTGCAATATTTTGTAAATATCGCAATTTATCGTAATATACAACGTGTATTCGTAATCAAAAATAGGTTCGTGACCAGTGCATTATGTAAAGTTCACTTTTTGCTACGATTGTTACATAATGATGTAATAACACGAAATCCCTTGGTAACATTCTCGAATTTACGTTGCACAGCCCATTTAAAAAATCACTTACAATTCTAATCAAAGCGGTAAATGATACATGATTTACAACAAATATCAATTAAATTATTTTCAATTTATTAATTTTCATCTTTAATTTTAAAGAGATTAAATTTTAAATAGACTCAATATGTTACAGAGACCAATTTATGCACGGCTTCTTAAAATTTTTCTCAGTCGTTACTTTTACTTCATTGAATAAAGAAAGTACATCGCGTTTTCTGAACGGTAACATCGTTCCGAAAGATAATGACACATTTTTCGCGATATCGCGACGCAATTTTCAGTACAATTCCACATGGTAATGAACAACTGTACATTACGAGAGTAAGTGATCGTATGAGACTCACCGGCCTTCGTAGGTGATGTAGCATGCATTGTCGAACCTCCAGTTGCCGCCACCGCTAAACCACCATACAACACCATGTACCATTACCGTACTGCGGTATACGTGTCCAGCGCTTAATCGGACAGAGAAACTCACCGCGGATTTCGCGAGGCGTGCCCCGAAAACGCGGAAGCCATTCAAGTGCCGAAAGCGCGTTTACAAGCACAAGACGATCTCGTATTTCGGCGTCACGAAATCTCTTTGTAGGGTTTGAAACCGGTGTGACGGCAACGACAGAGAACATTGTCGATGCCGCACGAGGATATGCGCTTCGTGTTTTTTCCGCGATTCCCAATAAAATTGTGGGAGTCATTCTCGTGTGTGTCTATATAGCTTCGAAATCAAGCGACCCGTTCGCGATTATCATTCAAACCCTGCTTCATCGTTCAGGTAACGCAACGTTCCTTCAAGCGTCTCATTCGCAGCGAAGCACGATGAAAGCGAAAACCTCCGCCGAAATCGCGCGGTCCCAGCTTCTCTGTCCCAGTGTCTCGTCGGCCGATAACAGAGTCCCGAGGCGGAACCCGAGGATTCGAGCGAGGGACGTTCGCGTGACAGGGGAAACAGAACGATTGACGGACATTCACGATGTGAAGCTGTACACATAGGACGGTGAACGGATTGATTACGGGAAATACAATAAGGAGAGATAAAGGACTCGGAGTGCAGAAGTGTGTGTCAGTGGACGTCACTTTTTGCCAGGGTGAAATATAAATTTAAGACAACAAATCATAGTATCGCAATAGTATACCGCAGCGATTCTCTGTTTTTTTCTCTTCGTTATGTACAGTATGCATTTAATATTTACACCGATTTTACCATTTTCGTCCGTCGCTGCGACGGTGACTCGAGCGTCCGTGCGAGATATATGTACAGACTTACGTTTTTTTTTTCTGACGGCAAAATTCTCTAAACGTTTTGTAATTACCAGTACAAAAAAAAAACGTGAGAATTGAATAAATATTATTTTCTTTACAACGTGCGCTTTTGTGGTGCGATCTACTAAACAATTAGATTATAATAGATCATAATAGATTATAATAGATGCGTGTGTACATACGCTTTTCATATGTATGTAATGAAGTATCCACAGGGAGCCGACGCGGAGCAGGGACAGGGGGGGAGGTTCGGATAGGATCGGACGGGACTTCACCTAGAACTCTCGACGTCTTCGCATATCGGTATTGTCGTGAATGCTTTAGAAGCGGGTAACGTGGGAATGCCGCAGCTAAGTTTATTGCACTGATCGCTGTGCCTGGCTACATGTGAAATCCAGCGCAAAAGCCAATGATAGAACCGTGATACAGGAACGTAACTGTCGAAGTCATCGGCAACGATTTTCGGAATTCACGTTTCCAACGTCCGCAAGCCTTTATATTTATTTAATCGCGACGCCGATATATCTCACGTGCTTGAAATCGGACATTACTTTAATCAGTTCTTTCATCACGATTTATTATCTTAGACGCGCTAAAGGTAAACATTAAAAGAAAAATACCCACTTGAATAACGCGAAAATAATCATTTACGGTCCGTTACTGATGACGTTCCGAAAACCGATCAATTTCTCGCGTGATATCATGATAACAAGCGTAAAGAACTTTTGAATGATAGAAAAATTGGAGAAAGATCGTTTTTGGTGTTCGAAAGAAACGCATTTGACTCACCGGTTGAATCGAAGTCACCCTCCAACGGCCTAAGCGGTCTGCTTATACTTTTCCTCTTCGACGGGGAATGTTTCAAGGCTGCAACATAAAACATGCGATGCCATAATTCCTTGCGCGAGCTGTGTGCAAACTGAACATCGAGTTTATTTAAAAGAAAAACTGGTGTGAAAATTATGTGGTGTTAAGTTACGCTTATCAAAAGGGCTCAAGATGCTACAAAAGCCGACATCAGCACCGTAGCAAGGGCGTTCTATTAGTTTCGTTTCGTTAATACTGTTTTAGTTTACGGAAATTATCATGGATTGCAATTATCACTTAACTGTTAGTAAAATATCGCAAATCGGGTTGTTTAACTTTTGCAGTAATTATGTATGTAAAATACTTTCCTTCGCTGCGTCGCGATATAATTACGATAAGTTCTGAAGAAAAGATATAAAACAATTTTCTTAGCTCTTATAGAGATAAAATCATAATTTATCTTAATTATCTTAAATAAATGCGTTTACGTTACATAGCCAATCAAGTTATCTGTTCGTTAATTATAATTAAAAAAATAGATAAATATATATGTCGTGAGTTTTTTTAATCGCGGTATTTTAATTTTAGATATTTAACTTTTCTGCTTAACAAAAATCTCACTACTGCATTTGTCATGCCTGTGTATATAGTTTTTTTTTCTCAATCTATATGTCTTCTATTCTATATTATCTGTTAACGAATTCTAAGCTATTGGTATATGTACTTATCGTAAGATACTTATGTTTTAATTATACTAATCGCAGGCATAGAATATCTAACATATATATATTGTGAAATATAGTCAAGCGGACAACATCTATTAGCCCCGCTTGCTTTGAAGCGAGAGCTTTCTTTACGATTAGCAATTGTCACCTGTATATGCGTACTACGTCTTAATCCATGCCTACGTATAATTAATCACACAGAAAAAATATGTACGTACATGAGAGACTTGTGCTGGAATTTAAAAGAATATTTTATGCATACGTAAACAACTAGATCTCATTGTAAATTGCGCAGACGTTTATCCATTAATCCATATCGGTCCGTGCTGTGATTATAGGGTATGTCTAGGCTAAACTAATTGCTGCACGATACCGAATGTGACAAGGGGAAAAAAAGTTCAGGTTTGTAAAGTTTATAGATAGAGAAATTAAGCGGAGACACGTTGTCGTGAGTAAAACGCAATTGCTGAAATCTTTTCGGTCGATTTCCTTGCGGAATGCTGTGGAAAAAGTATAGTGTAGGGAAAGGGTGAAGAGTTCATCGTCTATAACTAGTATCGCGGTTGTTATTCTTGGATATATTGAGAGAAGAATGACCTAGATTTATAAAAAAAGATTCTTATGCTGTTGCAAAATGTATGTCAGGAAAACAGGGAATGGAAATGTGCGAAGAGTGATAACAAAAAAAAAATACATGTATCGGGCGTATACAATTCTCATAGGCAATGGTTGCAGAAGCGATATAGAAACAAGAAGCACACTCACAAAGATGTTTGAAAAAATTCATTCGCATAATTCTGCTGCGTAAATTCACTTAAAAAAATCTTTTCAGTAAAAACATTCAGTTTCAGAAAATTATATGTTAGTGAACAAACGTAAAGAATTGTGTTTAATATTTTATTGTGTAAAAAATATATTAATATTGTAAAATATAAAACAAGCCTTAGATAAGTGCGTGTAATTAATTTTTCTAAATAGAGATTAATCTATTCTATTTCTTTTAATTTTAATTTGACAAATGAAAAAAGATATAAAAATAAATAGTGACATTCTAGTACATAAAATACCATCTTATCTTCGAGTATCATGCAAAGAAATCTAACATTAATTTCGTTAAATTATTTTTGCAACAATTATTTTTGAGACAATCATTCAAATTCTTCGAAAGTATCGTGATAGACAAAAATCGTGAAAAAATTTATCTGTTCAATTATGTGCAAAATTGCTCTTATACATAAGAGATGAGATAAATCCACTGTAAAATTAAGGAACATGAAAAAAAATCGTTCGTAAGAAAAAATACATATACAGGCAGAGGAGATTATGTGAAAACAAATGTACATACATTCGTACAAAAATGGACAGATGGACGCACACATAGACAGAGTTACCTATATAGCTGGTGACGAGGTTACGGAATTTGCGGTGATTCCCCTTAATCTCAGGCAGGTCCACTTTTGGTGGTTTCAATTTTCGAGTTTCGATCGGTAGCAGGTCAGATGAGGTCATTGGGGGTCGACACGAAAAGAAGTGCACGGGACACAGAAACATCAATATTTAGCTAATTCCGCTTACAATATGATTATGTATACCGGATTTATCGAACATACGACAAAATCATAAGGACTGCCGAGAATAGATAGAGACATTAAAGAAAAGCCAGGGTATACACCTAATTTTTCAAACATGTCGAAAGAGTTGAAATACAAAACGAAATTAAAGCTTGTATTTCCTATCTCTGTACTCTCGGATAGGAAAAATTGATATCGTATTACGTCGCGCAAATCATAATCCGAGCAGATCAATCGAACCTTTGTTGCATTCGAAGATTTATGCGACTCAAGTTACTGTTCGTTTCAACGACGCTTTAATGCATGACAATTTAAAAACAAAAAAAAAGATTACATTAATTACATGACTTTTCCTAGGGTGTTTGGGCTGTCAATTGTTATCTGTTTCTTTCATATGATAAAGTATAAGTGATGGGTGATCAACAAAACGCAAATGTACGTAACACAACAAACACATTGCACGATACAATATTAAGACGATACACAAAGTGTAACGCGCTGATGGTGCAAGAAACTTAATATGAATAACGACTACGAGGGGATGTAAGTCATAAGTAGGACAATGTCAATAATGATGGTAGTATACATGACGGTAGTAACAGTAGTGGTAACACTAGTATAACAAAAGTAATGGTAGTACCAGTAATAGCATTAGTAGTAGTAATAGTAACAGTAGTAATAACAGTAGTAGTAATAGTAGTAAAAGTAGTAGTAGTGGTAGTAGTAGTAGTAGTAGTAGTAGTAGTAGAATGGTAGTAGGTAAATAGTACAGTAAGTATAACGGTAAGTTATAAGTGTACGGGTGGGCTCATAAATGAAATGAAGTTGTAAACAGCGAAAATGTTTATTGTAAAATATATAAATATGTACAGTGGTGCCCACGTTCAGTCGATAGCTGAATATTTTTACAATAAAAAAAATTCTACTTCTACCGATTATTCTCGCTCTCACACTCTCGCACTCTTTCCTCGAGTTAATCTCGTACACCCACGCGGTCCTACGTTTGCTACTACTGTCAAAAATATATTACGTTCAACATTATTTGTATATCGCAGAGACTTTTCTACAGATACATAGATCGCACAAAATTAAGTGGCATCTAGCATAAAGAGCCTTTATCGAGGGAATTATGGCATGCATTCCTTTCCTTTTTGAAGAAGTCATGTTAAACAAGCTACTTGAATGCTCGGTATGTATTTCGTGCGTTCTACTATATCTTTGTTTTTTTTTTGCTAATGCTAATGCTTTTTTGCTTGAATGGCTCTGGTGGACGAAAATATTAATGATTGCTTTGGCGCATCGATAAAATAGAAACTTTTTGTCATCAAGCTTTACTTATCCTTGACATGAACGGAACTTTCATAGAACTTTGGCAACACATGACATTATTGAAAAATCAAAAATCTAAATGATGGAAATCGTTGTGCTTGTGATAATCTGTATACTAACAAATGCACACATATTCTCAGCTACAGACTAGATCAAGAAAAACAAGCAAAAAAAAATATTTGATTCTAGCTTCTATTTAGGTAATATTTTATAAAAATCTTGCTGTCAGGACGATTGTTTTTTTATGGCTCTAAATAAAGTCTAATATATAAGGGAAAATGCTAATAAAAGTCAAGATTAATAATGTCGATATATAAAAAATACTCAGCTATACCTGTGGACACCAGTCATTGGCAATTCACTATTTCTTTCTTTAATAAATATATCGAAAAAAATTGTGTGTCGGAAGAAAATATACGAAATGCACAATGAGGTTGAACTCGCAAAATAAAGTTATTAAAAAAAAAAAATGGAAAAATTATATATAATAAAATATACATACGTGTATTGTGTTAGCAATTAGTTACACCAAAACAAAAACCCAAAAATGATCAATTGACACTCATAAACCCAAAATATATCTTATTCACAGCATTGATTCGAAACGAATGCAGGTATCCGAAAAGTTTTGTTTTGGATCGGATTGAATATTCTACTAATAAATATCGTAATCGTTGAGATGAAAAAGCGCATTATTCTTACTTTACAACAAACAATTTTGATTTATGCATGATATTTCGTTAACTTACGCAAGGCACTGATAGATCAATAAAAATTCGAATATAATCATGATATTGATGCAAGCATCGTGTCTGGATAAATTTCGGATATCCGCACAGTATTTGTCGCATTCTCTGCAGTCACTCAAATGGTCTTATAACGCTATTATAATCGTTAGAACATTTCTCTGGACGGCTAAATCTGTGATAAAATCTGTTAGGACAAAATTGAGTCGCTGACCTGCGCCTTCAACATTCTTAAAGTACAAATAACCAGATAAAGAGGTCGTTCAAACTGGCATCGCTTGTGTCAATCCTGATAATAATTACGAGTAAGATACTTGTGGAAGCTAATATTTTGTTGAATCTCCTAAATAAATAAATCTCCATAAATCTCCTTTTCCGACTCGTTATTTCCTTTTTCGACTACTAACGAGTCTCGTTACACGCCAAAAGAACACGTCTATACGTGTATACAAAAGTAAATTAAGTAAACAAGTTTTATAGCAAATTGTAACAAGAAGAAAAATATATGTTTCTAGCTTACGGCTTACTGCTGTCTATAAGGATTGGTATATGCTTTTTAAGTAACAATATAGGTACCTCTTACTAATTATATCATCGTAACACTATATATTGTATCAGTTTTGAGCTTCATTTATAATAAACCTTTGTTCTACTTTTCTTTTTCGTCTCGCGGTTTAAAATATATCTCGAAAGCGTCAATAAAAGGTACAGTTCGATAGCATTGTATATGGTTGAATCACAACATTGATATCGTTATCATAATCGAAGGTTTTGATTTTCGCAATTTAAATATTAACTAGGTCCCCTAATTAAAGCTAATAGTTATCTTTTGCCTTCGTAGGAAGTTAAATCTCTTGTAAAATGCATTGGATTTAACGTGATCAACCAGGATATACAATCGGCTACCGGTAGGTAAGTAAGCGTGAAATTACTCATAAATTTGCGAGTTTTGCTGAGTGTAATCTTGTAGTCAAACTTGTTAGGACAGGCTGATTCGGATAGTACTTACGTGATGGTATTTTCTTAAATACTGTCTTGGCCATGAAATCCTGAAAGCGTTGCGCATAAAATCCTGGCCGGTGCACCGATACAGTGTCCTTAAGAAAGTAAGAAAGGTTTCTTCTATATTAACAATAGAAGACGAGGCCAATGAAAGGCAATTAAAGATCGCATCGGAATTAAATTATAAAAGGAAAATCTATAAATTCGCGCGCGCGCGCAGGTGCGTTATGTACATATCACTTACCCCATCATGTATCATCGATTTCCACGTATGTTCCAGTTTCTTTTTTAACCTGTAGCTTTGCAAAATGTCGATAACACCAAGGAACAATAAGAGACGTTCACCACGCGCATTTCTGGCGGGAATGCCACCCGAACTGTTGGAAACATATAAAAATGGAATTTATTATTATATACAATTATTATAAATGACGTATTATAATACGTCCGTGAAAGAGTTACAGGTATATATCGTGCTTACGGTACATCATCCTCTTCGTCTATTGGCTCGCTCTCAGCCTGTATACTCTCCATCGCCGTACTGTGAGCGACCAACCTCTGACGATTTATACTGCGCGATCGATTTAAAGCGGCGGCGCCTATTCTATCCTCTCTCTGTTTTTCCCTTTCAGACTGAATGAACCCGTCACTTTCGCCACCCATGTCATCAACTTCTTCGTCGGCGCTTGCTGATAATCTTTGTTCTTGCTGTAATGTATTAACGTATATATGTATAGTATGCATGTAAATATATATTGACATTTACGCGATATGAAAAATGTCACATGATATTTACAGCTTTTTCTTTCGCGGCCTGGTCAAGATTATGGATTCCAACAAGTAAAGAATAATCCATAATTTTGAAACTTTCTAAAACACGACAATCCCGTTGAATAGTTTTCACTAGTGCACCATACGTGTCCGCTTCTAGAAAGATACCCTCTGGATGATGCTCTATGAAATCTAGGTCTTTATACGTTGGCGAAGACTTCGAACGTTCTGTTTTCGACGCCTAGAATTTTTAACATAGAACGTAATCATAAAATTATGTGCACTAATACAATACTTGTAAAATATTCATGTAAAATATTACAAACCTTCCTTTTGTATGTAGACCCCTTTAAATCATACTTTTGATGCAATTTTACAGATGAAGGTAACAGATTATTCATAGCGATTAATCTAACATTTTTACTATTACACCGATAGCAGTACAATCCAAAAAACTTTGGCAATAACGTTCTTGGATTCTGATTTAGATTCTGTAGGAAATAACATTGTTGTTATTAGAGAAAAGTATTTTTTTGTATTAAAAATAAAATCGTATTTCAATTTAATAATTTACTTCTAGAACGTACCATGTAATATCCTGGAAGTAGAGTTTGCAAAAACTCTCCTTCTTTATGTTGCACAGTCTTTATGATAAATTCATCATCATCCGTTAGATAAAAGATACTCCCACTGGCGCCAGGATTTGATAACTCGCGCAGTGGTGCACTACACATTGACATCTAAATGTGCATATTTTATTATTAGTACACAGCTGTTCATTGTAATTTATACAGGAGAAAACTTCCGAGAGATCCGTCTTACCAAAAAATCATCCGGTTGAATGCCGAAGAGATCTCTAAAATAACGAAATGCAATGGGTGCATAGTTTTTAAATTTAAACTCCGAGAAGTGATGGGCTGGAGTGTGATTTGATCCTTCGTGGGGGAAGTTCGTTGTCTCCACCGTCATAAAGTCTTGCATTAACAAATCGCGTTCCGGTTTACTTGCAAGACCACCAACAGCATGCTGTATACCCAGTTGAATAGATCCCATAATTTGCGTGGTTTGGATCTGCATGAAATAAATAAAGTATACATTTAATTAATCATAGAGATATAATTGCGCAGGCAATCGTTAAATCTTAATACCGTAAGGTAGTTCATAATATTAATTTATTAATATTATGAACTACCTTATAATATTAATAAAGGAAGAGACGCAAGTAATGTCTCGAGCTATTAAAAGGAGAAAGTCTTAATCTCTCTCCTGCAATAAGCTCGCGCGAGGTGATTGAATCAGTAAATACATGCGCTGATTATCACTCTCATTGATAGCTTGAATAAGAGAAGTAGCTTATCGCTTCTATTAACATCTCAAAAGACCTTACCACTCATACTGCTCGACATAATATAGTATAAGCTTATCAAGTCTTTCTCTTTCACTTATAATAACACCCTTTTAACTCTGATTACAAAGCGCAAGATCGGAAGAAATCTATCTATTAGAAGTGCCACACACACACTGGCAATTCTTCCCGTATACGTACCTTCTTATATGTGATTTCACCTCCCACTCCGACTCTTCGATGCCCAATCTTCCTCTCTCGCTCCGATTTGTTTCTCGATACCCCCGCGGGGATCTTGCCACCTGTCGTACCATGTTGCACTACTGAGCTCTGCGAAGATAATTGACAGTACATAACACATTCCTGTTAACACTTGTTTCACACTTACAATAATTATTTAATGCAATCTAAAACGCGCGCGCGCGCAGAGAGAGAGGACTTAACTGGTTATATTGTTCTGGCTGGTCGCATTACGCAAGGTCTCATAGTACATATAACAAAATATCGTCTGTGGTTTATTTAGCGCTGTATATTGCATAGAGAGGAAACACCGAAGGTATCTCCGCGCTATTCGGAAGAACTAATTGTAAGAAGAAAATGGGATTCTCCACAGACGTTGCTTCGCCGTGATAGATATCGCTGCGCTCGGTTATATATACATTTTGCAAAAATATGCGATTATCGAAGCATGATATCCGCGATAATCGTTCACGTGCGACGATGATTTATAATACACTTCTCTTCTCACTGCAGTGTTTTTGCGCGCGTCTCGCGAGCCGTAACAACGGGAGCAAGTCGCAGAAATTCGAGAACCCGTTTCGTGCACAATTTGACTTCCTCGCGAGCGCGCGTGCAAGAATCGATCCTGGACGCTCGAGTGTAAATTACCGATGACGGGCAGATCTGTATGTCGTGCAAAAATAGAAATGATTTCGCGAGTAAACTCGGGATATATCTGGCGCGGTTGGTCGTAAATAGAAGAAGTTAAAGAAACTTGTTGTGATCAATATTGATCTATTTTGAATTAATTGAAAAAAATATTAGGCAATTCGCTCGTTCCAGATTATTATCTGTATTCCCATTTTACGCGCTTAAACGTAAATTTTTGAATTTTACTTGGAATTAAATAACGCACGCTCGCGCATTGAATTTATCCGTAGAATAAAAATCAAATGGAAAGCATATAAGCAATCGCGATTAATAAGTGCAATGTGAATCCGCGCAAAAGTGGAGCAAACGTTAATGGAAAAGAATTAAGAGATGATGGAATGCAGCACATTACGAATCGGCACAACTTTTTCATCGATGCTTTCTTTTTAAAATTATTTGAGAAGTAAAAGCTAGGCCAGTCTATATGTGAAACGTTTATTCAAAGTTGTTTATTCAAAAACAAAAGGGAGATATGATGTCAGATTAAGAAAGACGTAATGGAACATGAAAGAAGATTCTATCCGAGACTCGAAATAAACGAACGTAGCTGTTTCATTTGAATTGTTGATAGCAACAATAAAATTGTTTATTTATCCGTTGATTTCTGACACGCGGACACGTGGGACGTCCCGAACGTATGTCTTTATAATTGCATTTCGTTGTTAATAATTATTTAAACATTAAATCATTAAAGTGTTAATGAAATGTGTTAATGTAAAATCGATTTTGTCATTTAACGGAAAATAAACACGCGCATTTTTTTCAGGAATATATTTTAAGAGTATAACATTTATTTAGTTAAAAGGAAAGATCGATACTTACGTCAAATGCTGTTATTTTCTCTCCGGTCGACTTATCTGCAAAAGAGACGAAGACATTTTAATTACGTCGCACGGTGTAATGTATGTATTTTGATAACAAACAGCGCACGAGTTAGATAACGCGGTGTAATTTCGTAAAAATAAGCAATATATAAAATTTCGTAGAACAATGTTATCAATAAAAATAATCATAAATGATTAAATTTATCATATAGTAGTTGTGTATATACGATTTTACGTTTTTGCATAAAAACGTAAAAGCCACTAATTGTCGCAATTTTACGTAAAATTAAGATTTTAATGATGACGATTTGATTATGACGGTAAAATTAAAATTTTACATTAATTTTGTCAAATAATTAAGTAAGAACTTTATTTTATAAACATCCTCTAATATAATAAAACAAGAAATCTATCTTTTTTTTTCTTAAAAAGAATTTTTCGAAAATGAACAATTTTTGTAAATGTACGTACAAACATAATACATGTAGCATATGAAACAAACTTAAGAGTCTTGATGTTAATAATTTTTAAAATATGTTTCCAGAAATAAATATTAAAAGTAGTGAGTAGCTTAATGATATTTTTCCACGATTGATTTACCGAAGCGAGATTGCTTCTTTTATATAACATAAGTGTGTGTTCAGTAACGATTAGACTTTTGGAAAATATTTACTGCTCGCCGACAGTCCATGATTCATATTTCTATTGCACATTTACTGTTAAACGCGATTTAATTAACCGTTCGAATTTACTGCTTTTCTAGATTTTCACCGAAGATCACAACATCATCTGTGAATTACGTAATTGTACAACATCTACATATGTCACATAATTTCCTATTTATAAGTAAATGTAAAAGGTAAAAATGTGCTAATGCTTTTACTATAATAAAAAGATAGGTACGTATGCCTGTGTGTGTACGTGTGTAAGAAAACACGTTAAATAATATCTCACGTACACATATCTGTTTTAAATAACTTCTAGAAATTAAAATCAAAATTAGAATCGCTTTCAGCGATTGAATAGGAGCTCTGTTACGAGCCACGTAACAGAATCAACGTGTCTCTGCTACGAAAAACAACGTGGAAGTGAACTTTCTCAAACGCGACATGCGTTAAAAAAGAGGAGCATTTTGTCAAATAACCAATGATATAAGATAGTGAAGAAGGGAAACGCGTAAATAATCAATAAGGAAGAGGTTCCTTGATTATAGGCGTCTCAGATTAAAGGTTCGTTGAGTCGTAACGGATCCAAAATTCATGAGTTCATTTAGGATGTGATATAGGCAGGATTATGAGAGTGTGATATAGATAGGTTTATCAGAGTATGATAGGTCGGTTTATTAGGATATGATAGGTAGGTTTATTAGAGTATAATCTTAAAAATTGTTTGGAACCGAAAAGAAATTATTTTAAAATAAATATTTAACGTGTTGTGTCGTTTGCATCGCGACATGTGTAAGCACATCTCTCAGAGCACGAGTCCGTGAGTCACAATAGATTCTATCGATAACAAATGGCAAACCGTTTATCGTCTCGAGCAGATCTCGGATTAACAAATTACATACTGCGCGAGCAGTATCGGGTTTGATATTGCAGAAAAAGCGGCACGTGTACGTGCGCGGGGAAAAGAGCGATTTGCGATATCGAGTAAAAAAGGCCCCCTGGGATGACAGTCTGTATGTGTGTGTAGAATAAGGGTACAACGAGTCAAGATGTCCTTACTTAGCCTTCTATTTTTAACTCTCCGCGCGTCTTCCGTTGTGAGCTCGTGACTCAAACGCGGGATGCGGTGTGGTCTTTGTTCGGTGGAAAGTCATTTTTTTTCCCCACCCGACAACGAAAACGCAAAAAAGAAAAGCGGCGCCAATGAAGGCATGCACACACACACCCGTCGCCGTCGCACCGAAAACATCGTCAATGAATCTCTCTGGAAGCTAATACGCGCGATAAGTACGCGCGTGTTTGCGCAGAGGAGGTCCACGTTGCGAGCACCGTCACGTTTCGCGCATCGTGAAGAAAAAAAAAACGTGTGAAACTATTTCCTTTCGAGGCAGAATGAATCGCGTTATGTAAACGCTCTCATCCTTGAGATAATAAAGACATTCTTCAGCGCGCGATAATGCTCTCTTGTGTTCCTTCTCTTGCCCGACGTAATCGAAAACTCGGAAAATAATGCGTTTCGATTATTACGTGTCGTATTATGCTGAAGAGTAAAAACACGAGCGAAGAAATTCTCAGGGTGAAACGCCTGCAGGGCAGAAGGCGGGAAGCAGATTAGAGTATTCACTGAATATTAATATGATATCTCACACCTTCAAACTCGTTCAAGGATAAAATGTAATGAGAGTGCAATTTCCTTCGTCTTCTGAGGATGAGGTGTGAAAAGGTAAATCAAAGTTTAACGCAATTTCCTATCGAAAATTCAGGAAATGATACGTTTGCTATTTCCTGAATTCTCTCTCATGAGCTCGAGAGAATTGTGTGACGAACAAAAGAAATCTCAGCTGAAACAGTCTATAGACGGAAGAGGAAGAGGGAATTAAAGTCTCACTCATGAATACATTTCCCTAACTTTAAGCTTTAAGAATAAAACGCAATGAGAATACAACTTTCTCCGTCTTTTAAAGATAAGAACGAGAAGCAAAAATAGTCCGAAGTTTAACAAAATTCCCCGTTTACTGACGAGTGAGGAGATTTTCTAAGCGGAAAGAGCTTTCGTTCCGATAAGAGGAAGGCTGCTATCTTTCGAAAACGAGAAACAGTTCGGGCGTGCGGTATCGCGCGCGCTTTCCAACGCGCGTTCCACTTTTCTGTGCCGCTGTTTTCCTCTGCGGCGCAGAGGGAAAAAATATCCATTCCTCGGATGGCGCGAATCCGATAACGGCGGGCGTTATCGCGATCGGCGCGACGCGGCTTCGCGGGAGACACACACGCGAATTTCCACGTGTCGTCTCGCGGCCTGCCTGGCCCGATGCAATGCCTCCATCAGCTGTCAAACGGCGGCGAGTCGTCACCTTGGAGTCGCGATGCGTCGAGCGGATCGCTCCCGATAAATCGAACCAGAAGCGAAAATTAAACAATTTGGAATTTCGCGCCTCGGAATCGGCGACGGCGAAATGAAACTCGCTAAATAAACAGCGAGTTCGGTCGACGACTCCGAAACTCCGAATATACCCCTGATTTTCTCTCTCTCTCTCTCTTTTCCCGACTCTCGCGTTAAAACACGAATGCATGTGGGAATTCTCGCGTAAAAATAACCGATAACTAGCGCGTCGTACTTTAACGAACTGAGTGAGAGAGACGAGAAGATCCCGGGCTCTTCGGGTGAAAGATTTCAACGGGACCATATTCGCGCTCGGTCGAACGCATCCAATTTTCTCGAAATCCCGATAGGGTGTAATCTCGTCGAGTGTACATATCGAGAAACAGGGAAAAACAGTCGTTTTATGTTTATTCCACGAGCCCGAGAGCTTCGCTCTGCAGTTTTCAATGTTAGATATCTCCGTAATTACGTAACGCGGTGGCCGCGCGGAAGGAAAGTGTGTCATGCGTGGAACGCGTGGTGGCTTTTAACGAGAATACAAGTCTTCGGGAGAGTATAACCGAAGACGCTATTCTAATCCGCGTCATTTACATGCGCGCGCCCTTCATCGCCGCGCGGCGACAACGCGCGTGGTTAATGTGCGTTAAAAACTATGCGGCGGATTGCGGGCAGGGACGAGTTTCCTCCGTCGAGCTTGTAGCTTGTTTTCGTGTTATCGGGTTTTTTTTTTTTAACAGATCGTACGCCAGGGACGCTCAAAATTTCCCGGAAGCCTCGAGACGAAGGCCGTTCCGTGCACTCTCTAAATTTTCTGGAGTGAATGTCACTCAAAAAGATTGAAAATGAGTGGCAGTATTTTCACTCTTTTGGAATGAGATTCACTCCAAGAGTGAAAAGTTACTCCAGAAAATTTAGAGAGTGTTACTCAACGTCACGATCGACAGCTATCAGCTGTCAAATAGAAATCGCGACGCTGAGAGCACGCAGAGACGCTTTTATTATTCGCAGTCGCACGAATATATAATCTCTACCGCGAATGTCTCGTGACTACGAAAAACGACACGGATGTCCCACGGGAGGGACATGCATCGTGACGAGACCGATCGGTTCGGAGACGGTCAAATTTATCCATGAATCGATCGCGGCCCGCACGGCAGGAAGAGGCCCGACGTCGTCGACACGCGGAGTGCATTCCAAACGAGCCTTCCTCCCCCCCGCTCCTCCCCCGCGTCTCAGACGACGATTTCTCACGTTCCGCGCTTTGTAGGTCGCGGGTGACACCCATTAGCTGTCAAACGGTCGGCTAACGCTTGAGCGGGCTTCGATCGAGCGGGACGAGCGCAAGCCTAGGGGAGCGCCGCATGCGAGGCGCAGCGAGGACGATCGCGATCGTGGACGAGTGCCCGGTGGATTCGAGCACCGGCCACGAGGATTCGCTCGCCAGAGCATCCTCGAGCGACGAACGACGCCCGCGACGCGGCGTCCGGAGTCGCGGTATAGGTTAGGGCGCACCGAGAAGAGGGTCCGGGCACGCGGAGGGGAGCGGGGGAAACGGGGAGTACAGGTGTTCACACGTTCACACTCACAGTCCTCCTCGACGGTGGATTGCTCCGGCCTGAGGTGATCCACCGCGGGCTGCACCGGCACGGGGAAGCTCGTCGTCTCGACCACCTCGATCACGTCCACATTGTCGCCCGAAGCCATTTTGCGTGCGTCGCCTCCGTCCGATCCCGCACTGACTCACGCGTAACGGCGGTGGTGGCGGCGTCGGCGGCGATGGTGGTGGCGACGGTCCCCCTGACAGTTCCTCGAAGGAGCCTCCTCGGTTGTCGCTCGGTCCCCGTCGCCCCGCAACGGACGCATGTTTCGACGCTGCTCGACGCGGGCGAAGACGCGTGCCGCGGGCGGCGGCCACCCGTTCGTCTCGCGTGTCGACTCGACTGTATAGAGACGAGACGCGACCGATCACGATTGATTACGCGACCTGTCGTCGTCGTCGTCGTCGTCGTCGTCGTTGGAGCACCGCCGCCGTCCCGCGCGACATATCAATCGCGCGAACTACGCGAGGCCGCGGATGCTCGTCGTCGTGATTATTAACCACTATGTACGGTTACCTCGAGTCTCACGCCGCGCGGAAGGAAAGAGAGGAAAACTTGTCAAGTCTCAACTCGCGTCGCGAATCACTCCGGCCAGTCCGGCCTCGACCCGACAGGAACACGCAAGTGTACTCGCGAGAACTCGTAGAGAGAGCGCCTCCGGAGCCGCGCGAGCCCTTCCGTCCCGCCGTTTATCGACCGAACCGTCGTCGCGGCGCGTCGCGACACTGGCGCCGCCGGGCGGCCGCGCGGCGAATCCTGATTGCCGTCGCGCGTTTGAATTTGAATTTCGTCGCGCGCGCGCCCCGACACTCCGCGCGTGTAATTGCGGAGCGGAGGAATGTGATTACGAAGTAAGAGCGTCGTTCCGGAATGATCGGAGAAATTTAAGTAGAGAGTTGTACTCTCGGACAATTCTTTTTTAGACGGGGTTATCGATTGAGAACGTATTCAGCGGCTGCGGCGCGATGCCGTAAATCTTAAACATCACGCGATGACCGCTTTCGATTGTGCGAGGACTCTAATTCCCCGTTTACGCGATGGCGCTAATTAATTTAAGTGTTTCGGTATACGTAAACTTTTCGTGGAATTTACTTTCTCGAGATTACATTGAATATTTATACCTGGTAATTAGAGAAAAAAAGAATGATTTATAATATTATACGTATTACGTTCTAACATATCTTGTATATAAATTACGAATATTCCCTTTGTATGAATATTTTCTTTTCTGCAAATAATTATGCTATAGAAATTAAAATGTAAAAGAACGTAAAAGATTGTTTAAATATGTCTAATCTATGTCTAGACATGACATATCTAAAATATGTCTAATCTATGAATGATACATGACATCTTTTAGTTATAATATTTCTACAGTTGATGCTGTCCTATTATTACATCTGTTAATATTTAGTATGACAGATTTCTCTTTATTTTTACTTGCTTCTCTTTTTCTTTATCTTTACATTCTACTTTAATGTATATCTTATCTCTATCCTTTTTTTTAGTTTTTTATATCTCTAGAGACGCTCTTTATCTAATTAATGTAATATTTTATCATTTTTTAAATTGGTGATACACTTTTTTGTCGCGCGCGCGTTTTCAGTCCAAAGATATATTAATTAATTTCTTTCCCTATTGAAGTCTAATTATTTAAACTGCAATTTTATTAGCTTCTTTCTATATTATTGCTATTGCCTTAGTTTTCATTGCTTCTGTGCAATTGATATCTTTTATATATTCTTCATTAAATTCAGATTATATTTCTTTTATTGCTTCAAAGCATTTTTTCTATATTTTTTATTTAGTGTATTGTGTTTACGTTAATCACTCACATATGATAAAATTGACAGACAGATGCAAGCTCATGTATTAAACAATAGCTTTACCTTTCGTAATACTAATCTTTTACAATGTATTTTTTACTGAATTATTAATTAAACGAATCGATTGGATAAATTTATATTAAATCGACTTCACTGAATGATTTCTAGACATGCAAACTGCTTATCATGAAGCACCAACAGGATAAAAAAAATTAATATAATAAATTCGATTAATTCTTAGATATGACAATGATAAATTATCCTATACTTTTTGGCTGAATCCAAAGAATAATAACATCTTTACGTAAACGGATGACTCTTCGTCTCATCCAAGTATCATTGAGTCTTTTATATTAATTTTTTTGATCCTAGCTATTGATGCTTTACGTATTCTAATACATCCGAAATTAGAAAACGATTGGATTGGTTTCGAATTCTTTTCGTCTCTTGTCAGAAGCGTGGTGTCCCCTCAACGTATTTCTGTCGTATGCGCTATTTACAATTTATTTTCACAGACATACGGGATGGTTCCGAACGATCTAATAATAAATAAAGAGGTTTCCTATCCCAAGATATACTCTCGGTTTGCCATTGCTTTCTGAGAGATAGCAATCGAATAAAAATCCGATGTTTCTGCGGTGACATTTGAACCCGGGTCTTAGGCATAAGCACATAAAGCAGATACATAACTCTCTGCGCCACGATCACTTATACACTTTGTATTTAGCTAAATTTAAAAAAAATGACATCTTTATATATCTATGTGATAAAAAATGTCAAGTTAAAACTCATTTTTACATTTTATTTCAAATACAAATTTCATTTTATCAATATCCATAAGCGTGTATTTGTAATGCAATCTTCTATTTCACAAATAATTAAATAAAAATTAATAATTTAAATATATCTCAAACAATATTCATTTCTACTCTTGTCATCTTTTAAACAGTAAATCTCATTGAATATGAAGTTCATCGCTAATCAAATTTTATGATTGTCATAATGTAAAGATATTGCTACAATCTACAATTTTGATAAATTTTAACGTTCACTTTCGCTTACAATAAATAAAAATATTTAGTGCTTATAACATGCAAGATATATTTATTTAATGAATAATGTTTCCAGAGAATATACTATATACGGATCGTTCGGTATATTCACAATCAGTAGGTAAGGCATCTATTAATCGATTGACATAATACAAAACGTAATTATGTGTTTATATATTTCAGCTACATCATGGCTCAGTTTAAATGGCTTCTGAACAAGATATTATTGCAAAGAATATTTCTTCTAAGCATTAGCGGCGCAATCGCATCACAAATCTTAATGGGTTACATCGATTACAACAACCAGGTTATACATTTAAACATCGTTAATTGATGTGTAATTAATTTGTGCTCAATTTAGTAGGAACAATAATTAATTTTAATGATAATATTGATATGGGTCTATCAAGTTATTTTGTATTTTTTTTACAAACAAATTAACATTTTTTAAAATATCATTTTTTTCAATATCTGCAGATATATTTGCAAATAAAAAAATATTACATTTTTTTTTAAATAAAAATGTTCTTTTTATTGAATTGTTGACATTTCAACGATTATATTCATCAATCTGGATGAGCATACGTTTTGCCTGCTAGAAAACGAAGCATGCTCAATGATCAGTCACGAGCGTCGTGTATCATTAATTAATTATGTCGGCTGCATTCATTACGGAGCACACTGATCGCGCAAGACGGTTCATATAAAACGTTTCGCTTAATGTGCACTAGACAGACGAGATTTATACGGTGGAACGTGTAATTAATTATCAAACTGCTCTGCAAAACTTCCGTGATTCCATCGTGGGGTTTGTTGTCCGTCTCCTGTCCGGATACTTCCGCGTGCAACACATTAATTACATTCAATAAAATTTTTCACATCGATCTCATTCGGCCTGTACCTAATACAGCGATGATATCATCACAAACTGTATATAGAGGGGGAAATCAGAAAGTAAATTTCCCAAATCATGTATAATTTTTTTTGCTTACTTTATTTGTTCATATTTATTCGTCTTAAAAATATACATTTGTACAATATATATTCTCCAATATAGTCACTCTACTTGTTGAGGCTTGTCTAAGCGAGAATTCCGGGAATCAGAAGCCTGCAAAAAAATGGGAACCTGTACACGCAGCTTTTTACACTTCATGATTGACATCATCATCTGATTGGAATCATGCGCCATGAAGGTGTTTTTTTCATTCTTGGAAAGAGATAAAAATCAGAAGGCGGAGATCAGGGCTCATGATCAAACGTGGAGTGCAAAAAGTCGCTGAGTACACGGGCTCCCACCTTCTACTGACAGGATTTTGATTCATGGATTTCCCACTCATTAGACAAGTGCCTCATCAAAGACGATCTTGAAAAATAGTGTACGAATGTAAATGTATAATATTTAAAGCATATAAATTTCTCAGTACAAATAAAGCAGTTAAAGTTACATGAGTTGAGAAAATCTTACTTTCTGACTTTCGCTCGTAAAAATTCACTTTGCTTACAATTTCACATAAGATTTGCTAATTTACAGATTCAGTTTTTCGCTGAAAGTTATCCTTGACTTTATTAAATTGTTTCACGCGCGTTGTGTATATTATATATATTATTTATTTCTCAAACAATTTTTTAAATGACAAGCTAAATACTTGCTCTATTTCATAATCGTAAATATAGTGAAGTATAACAGAACATATTTAATATCTAATTAGAAATGTAGTCAAATAGAAAGTATAGTTGCAATTCATTGCTGAAAAATATTTCCAACTTCCAGTGACTTATTGGAAGTCATTCCATACTCGGGTGAGCTATCTTATTTAATTAATCATTTATTTAGCCGACACGTCCATTGTTAGCGATCCTTATCAGCCCCAAGCATCCTTTAGGCGCGACCTTCGGCGTAACAAAACGTTAGAACACACGCCCCGCGCGCGCGATCTGCTGACCCTAATTCATTAAGTAAAAGGACGCCGATTTTTATTTCTCCTTGTTCGACAAAAGTACCGCCGGTCCGAAAAGCAGGCCACTTGCCACGCAACGTCGGCTCCGCGGCTCAAATGCAGGAAACTTTAATTACTCCGGTGAAACGAACTTCGTTCTCTTGCGATACGCTGACCTTGCGAGGTATACTCTTTTCTCTTTCTCTTTTTTTTCCCCGAAGGTGGTCGAGTATATGGAGTCGATGTCGTACCGACAAGCCCTGGAATCTAGCAGGCTGAAAAGTGGTCGAGGACACTTTCCTCTGGATGAAGCCTGCAAGCTCCATCAAGAGTCATCACCCGCGAGGGATCAACGCAGCGGCTAACGACAGAGCGAACGAGTCACCATCACGGTTCTGTAATCAAAACACGCTTGAATCAAATATCATTAGCATGAATCGGCTGTAAGCTTATCAAATGTCATCGGCAAAGTTTTAAAGAAACTTAGAATTTTATCATGCTTATTTTTAATCTGGCGAGATAATCGTTTACTGTCTATAATAAATGTCACCGTAAGAGATAACCTTTGGGATTAGAGTCTAAAAATCGTTCGATTACCGTGAGATATCTAACGTGACACTTTATGGATATGTAATTTTAAGTTTTTACATGTATAACAGTGAGAGCAATAAAACTGACATAGGAAGAAAAATATTAATATATTAAATAATAGATTGCACATCTTTAGATTGATTCTCTATTACCTTATTATCTTAAATCAATATTGGTGTACATTTTCATTTATGATTTTTGATATATATATGCGAAAGTATTCTATAGTTTGAATATCTTTCATATTTTTTAAATGTCTCAAGCAAGACTTGTATTCGCGATTTTGAATAAAAAATCGTTTTCCATGACTTTCATTTAGGGCGTTGGTTTGGAAAATTACAACTGTTGTAATCATTATCCGGCGTGTTATCTGTGTATCGCAGTGTCAATCGTATATGCGTATACGATTGCGGCTAGGCTATAGCACGTGGTTATGTGCTCAGAGGTCGTCTAGTACATCCAGCCTTCTCGCAATCCCCCCGAGCATTTAAATAGATATCGCGCGAGCGTAAGGCCAGAAAGAATATAGTATTTCCTGCATAGGACGCAACAAAGGAACAAAGATATATACCGATGAGCGGTATAATTTAACTTAAGACTTACATGCAACGCGATAAAATCTCGAGAAAAGTTACAGCTAAGATCACTCTTCCGCCTAGATCTGTCGAACTTATTACGCGAGAAGGAATTCTCGCGTAATAATGGCGAACAATGGCTTGTTTTAACAAGCAAATCAAAAGGGATTTATTTTATAAGCTATTTTTATTAATAATTTTTATTAATAATTTTTATAATTAATAATAACTGATGCATTTTTAATGTAATAATAAAAAATTTTTGAACTCTTCGCGAATATCTGACGTCAATCAAATATTTTTGTCTCTATTGTTTAATCTGCACGCATTTATCTGATTCGGCTACGTCACATTCGCGTGTTTTCATTACGTCGCAGGTGGAATGACTTGTGTAAATTGTATTATAGTTGTCGGTCTGTCTCACAATAAGACATTTTGATGAACAAAGTCTCAGAAATATCATCGACAAAGTTTTAAAGAAACTTTTAGAATTTTATCATACTTATTCTTAATCTGGCAAGATAATCTTATACTGTTTAATAGATATCACCGTAAGAAATATCCTTTGGGAGTTAGTTAAAAATCGTTAGTTAGTTTAAAAATCGTTCTATTAGCATCAGATATCTAACGTGACGCTAAATGGATATGTAATTTTATTTACAATTTTAAGTTTTATTTAGCAGCGAGAGCGATAAAACTAATATAAGAAGAAAAATATTAATATATTAAATAATAGATCGCACATCTTTTAATTGATTTTATCGATTTTATAGCCAATATAATCATCGTAGTCATAAAATATGATTATTTATACAAAGTTTTGCTGATGCGATATTGAAAGGTGATAATATATTTTATTACAGATGAATAATTATACATTGATTATTAGTAGGTTTATGATTAATGTAAATAAAAAGAATAGGAAAGAAAATTGAGAATATGCGTGAGGATTATAAATGATAACAAATACTGCTTGATTAAGGATTAACGGAATTTTCAGGATTTAGTTTCCTTTACAATTTCTTATCAAATGAATTATGAATTTACAAAGCGCCAGTTATAATTCACTTGAGAAATACTTTGTTAAGATGTGCTACGTATATTATACAAGACGCTACAATGTTTGATGAAATATTATTTACGAGCGTACGTCGGAAAATGAAAAAACAATTCCCATAAGAGAGCCATTGTTTTCTTGAAAATTAAAGTAGTAAAGAAACCAACAAGTCCGTATAATTTAAATAAATAAACATAGTGGAAGAGAAAATCTTTATCTCGAAAAATTCTGTTGTGAACAGAGCTTCGAGAAATGTTAAGATAGAATTTTATGTAGGTAGCTCGCACATCTTCAGATTGATTCTATCAATTTTATAGCCGATAGAATCATCGTAGTCGTAAACTCAGAGGGATTTACTTCGCGCACTGTTTGCTGCACAAAAAACAATAGGTAAAAGAACTCTCTACCGCATTCTTGAAATATCGCAACTTACGTGAAAATACGGAATATTGAGTGGAGCTATTACTATTCCTTTGACGCTGCTTCTTCGTAGAACAAAACAGAATGTCATCTGGATTTAGTTTGTCAGTTACGCGTTTGAATAAATTCTACGAAAAGCAAAAGGACATTTCTGTCCGCAGCTACTGTGAACTAAAAATTTATTTATTATACTTATATAAATGTTGTACTTTTATATACATTAATCCCGGAAGAGAATTTATATATGTATATATAAAATAATTAGAATTATAATTAAGAATTATGATAAGAATTATTATAATTAAATGTAAATAATTATAATAATGTAAGTAATTATATAATCAAACGTCATCAGGCACGTGGACATGTTTGCTTAAACTGTCGATTCCCGTCGACAAATATCAGAATCGTTAGCGCGATGCTGCGCGTAGTAAATCAACGGGTTGCGGGTTTACTCAAGTGATAAAATTGTTTGAGTGATATTAAGCGATGAGCTCGAAGAGGCGACAAGGAGAGAAAACATCTTTGAAAGTGGAGTGATTTCATCAGCTTGCGCATGAAAGATTACCCTGCAGAATCTATGCGTACCGCATATATGTGCCGTATAATCACTGTTTTCGAAACTCCACTCACACAGAAGCTGCTTGAACGCGGTCCCGTTTTGACGCGCGCGTAACTAAAATTTGAGAAAATCGCATTGAGCATTCATTTTCTGCTTGATTATGTGTGTTGTGTAATTACCGTTTGATATCTTTCGCAAAATAAGCATTCTGTGATGTCGAACAAATCTAGCAACAAACCTAACGTAACCGATGTGTCTGAGAAGAAGCAAATTCCACAACGAGATTCAAGTAAGCATACGATACTTGCAAACCGAAAGGGATTTTGCTAAAGAATAATTTTGAAATTATTAGACTTTAATGTTAATAATAACACTAGTTTACAAAAATGTTTTTTTTTGTTATTTTGAACTAGACTATGTGTTTCTTATAGATTTTTGGAAGCTAAAAACGATGCCGCAAACCAAATTTCTCCAGCACGTTAGGTTTTCAAGATAATTGAGATTTAATGTCCAAAAAATTGCTTTTTCGACGATATTTGACATTTTTTTTTTGTAAAAATTATTAACGTTATCTTGAAATTTTGATCAGAAATTACGAATATTGATCATCGCCTATAAAATGCATTCTGTTTTTATTTCTTGGCTTGCGGCATCATTTTCAGCATCAAAAATCTA